TTCAAAAACAGAGGTGTGTCTCCATCCCTGCTTTCTTTCCTACGGCTTTCACATTGAGGAAATGTGGCAGCTGGATGCATCTAGAATTTAATGAGCATTTTGCTCCAAACCAAGAAAAATAGAAAAATCATTTATGTACCACATCTATTTTCACAAACACCGTTGAATATTGATTCAATCACAGTATGTGCATTTGCTAAGATGGCCATAATTTCAAGCAATAAAATGTTCCTTGCTCAATAAGCCATCAACTTTCCTCCATGTTATTAAAGAATAGCCCATGCATTATAATCACCAGACCTTTATTCTAGTCAAAGCTTCAACTTTCAAGTAGATTCTGTACTGGCATGCTGATTTGACCTAGTCAGACTGCAGAATTAACAGGAATTTCTTTTCAGTGCCCTTTTGTTCAGTGGATTTTAATCTTTCAAGGGTTTTAGGTTATAGAGGACATAAAGCAAGGTCAAGAATCATCAAAATTACTCAGTAAGATGCCTTAGTGAGTAAAGAAAGGGTTAAGGTCTAGACAGAGAGAGATAGGAGGCTCCTGACCCCCCTGACTTGGCTCACACAGGGAGCTACCTGACCAAGTTCACAGCAATCTCAGAAGTGGAGAAATGCTGGGGATTTGGGGATCCCAAATCCCAGGGATAATGGGAACAAACGACTGGCCCTGAATGTTAGAGAGTACTTTTTTTTTTTTTGACAGTTGTATTATAATCACAGAAAATGACAAAATCTCAAAGATGAAGTAAGCCAATAAGGATGTTATCAATAATCCTTGCTCAAACCCAGATAGTACAAGAATCTCAAGGCCACAGCTTCCCAGTCAGTTCTCCATAAAAGACTGCCACTGAAAGCCTACAGTGGCAACCCATTCATTTATATATATATAAATGATATATATATATATAAAATATATATATATATTTTATATATATATATATATATTTTATGGCAACCCATTCAGAACCCCTCTCACTCTAGAGAGCTTTTTCTTTCTGTTCTGCTTTCACTTTCACTTAGTAAACTCTCACTTTGCTTCACCCTTTTGTGTCTGCAAGATTTATTCTTCAACTTGTGAGACAAGAGCCCTGTATAACAGTAGAAAGTACTATGTTGGACACTGTCCACCTCTCAGTAAGGCCAGAACAACATATTTCTCCACCACACCGTTGGGGCAGATGGTGTTCATTTTGCCAACACCAGGTGAAGTCAATGGCTTACACCTACAATGAAAGCTATGTCACTACCACCCCAAGAGGTAGGTGGACCCTGAGACTCACCCCCCATATCATCTCTCTCCAGGGCACATGATTATTGAGGAGGGTGGTGGGTCGGCAGAGTCACTCCCAGTCCTCAGCTTATAATTCTCTCTTGCTTTTGCTGAGCACATACAGTACATGTGCATAGGAGGCAACTCTGCTGCATTTCAAAGGTCTCCCCTCTTCTCCACTCCCAAAGGTTCTATACCCTCCTCCTGATCCCCAGCAATCCAGTGACTCTCATTCTAGAACCCTGCCAGAAGCTAGCATCTGAAGCAGTGCTTGCTAACCATCTCTGGCCATCCAAAACGTACTTGTCCTGTATCCCAATCCATCAGAGCCCTGCTACAACCCTGCTTGGTTAAGGTGATAAACTTGATTCATGCCACAGTATCAGTGGATGAAAATGGCTTAAAGTATAACACTTACAATGATATTCAGGCCTATGTTGGACTTAAACATAGGCCCTTAAATAAAGCAAAAACTGGACAAAGGTGTCTTCCCCCACTTCAACCTGGCTTAGTTACTGAACTTATACACAGGTCTCTGGTTTAAAAAAAAAACAAAAAACAAAAAACAAAACAGATTTTTCTAAAAAAGCTATTCATTTTATCCAGTTTTAAAAATATTTTACTTTACGGCCTCATTTATGTGCTCTCAACTCCAAACCATTTAAGATGAACATGTGATTTGTGCTTAAATTAATAGTTCCTATCTGCTGAACATTTTATGCTAAAAGGAAAAAAGAGAAAATGTAGTTTATGCCTTAACATACACTAGGTATTTTTTCTGAGTATTATATTTTTCTTAAAGGTCTAAATTACTATATTTAATTTAGGTGAGAAATAACAGGACTTACAGAGTTTTAAAATCTATTATTTTTTTAAACTTATTCACAAATTTTCCAAAACATTATGATGTGTGTTTTCTCTCCACACCTTTCAATATAGTAGGTATCTGTCATGAAAGAAAGCTTTGGTTTACTTTCTGCTAATAATTAGTAATGAATTTCAGAAATGACACTTTTATTTGCTTTTCTTTTCAGAGTTGTGGTGATTTAAGGGGGTTATTAATAACATTTTTCTATCCTCTAGAATAGCTTCGCACTGGTCCTTTAACTTATTCAGGAAGGAAAGAACAAAAGTAACATAAATTTAATCTCCATATACACAGCAAGAAGAACAATATTAAACAGACCATAATTTTATTGTGTATGTCTCCTAAAGCATGCCTTAAAAAAACAGCAAATAAAGCAAAATGGTCAAGGTGCTATGTAGACCATCATGGTCTTCCTGCTCTGTGTGTGTGTGTTTGTGTGTGTGCGTGTGTCCAGAAACTGCTTTGATCCCAGCCAGAGAAGCCGAGTCTGTGTCCCAAGGACCCAGCAGATGCATAGGCAGTAGCAACACATGATGCATAGCAGTAGCAACACATGATGGAAGAAAGGTTCTGAAGTGTGGTTCTCCACCCAGTTCTGCCACGTAACTCCTTCCCTGGAACTCCTTTGTTCCTCAAATGAATACCTGGGGGCTGACCTGAAGAAAGGCCGAAGTTCCAGGCAGTTCTAAGAGCCCCGGAGTCCCTTTTCTATAAGCATATTGTAGGCTCTGGACATACCTCACCACCCAGCAGTGTGGCAAAGACATTCCACTCCAGGACAAGAAAAGATTGCACTGGACATCTGGTTCCCTGCACTACCAACTTTGGTATGGGCCAAAACAACTTGAAAAAGGTATAAATGTCAGCATATTGTATTGCTGAGATATGAATAATTCAGTATCTCAGGGCAGCCTCATTATCTGCCTATGGTCATCCTAAAAAAAGCAAAGGATAGTCTGCAGGGGAGCATTTGCAGGAGGCTTAGTTCATAGTTCCGGGCTCCTTCTCATCTTTCAAGGCCATGCCAGCCCTTTCTGGCTGACTTGCCCATGCCTGAGAGGCTGATGTTCAAGCACTCCTCATCAGGAAAAGCCATTTATTCTCCAGGTGACCACAGATATGAGCAGCCATCTGCCTACCTGGTCACATCAAGGGGAGAGGCTCCTTTTAAGGCCTCAGAAAATTCCTGGAAGTTCCAGTTCTCCACATTTGAATACAAATGTGGCCAAATACAAATTTGAATACAGAGCCTCTATCAGTCAGGGGGTAAAAACCAACTGAAACTAAGATTTCTTATCACTGTACTTCCATTATTAAATTGTAATGAGGTTTAAAACATCTTAAAGAGCTGAAGAAGAATATAATCAGAGACCCTAGAAACCATACTTTCCACGTCCCAAGAAAAGCAGCATTTTAAAAATTAATGTCATTCTAGAGCTCATCAGCAGGATAAAAGATACATTCTCAGGGAGAGGGTAGGGAATAATAAAATCCAAAAGAAGATACTATAACAATATGTTATATGACAACCAGCCAACCAAAGAGACAAAGATGATCTCTGCAAACCAAAACCCATTACATATTTATATTCTGAGGAAGGCAATTGATATGACAGAAATGTTCCGACTGGTTTCCCTGCAGATTATCCCATTTGAATATAATAAATGAATTCCCTACACACAGTTGCTATGGCAGCCAGTATATATTGTTCCATGCCCAGGCCCCTTCAGAGCCAGGCAAAAGATCTGGACTAGAGGCTAGATGATGTATTGAGGCCTGACCTCTTGTTTAGTGCTTCTCTCTTGAGCTTTCTCATGTGTACACATGCTCCTGTGCTGCATATGTGAAGTCAGGCATAGAAGCATCTCTGTTCAGAGGAGAATTCACAACAAATGAGGGTGGGCCTAGTGAGCTTGAGGCAAGAGACCTATCCTAATATACTAATTTCATATATTGTCATTATTACATCTTTGCCACTTTAAGTCTCATGGGAATAGAGTTGTAGGGAACTGACTCTTTTGCAGCCAGATACACACATTCATTACCATTAATAAAAAAGGAAAAAGGCAGGATTACAGTGAATACAGTGGTGCTCCTCTCAGATTCTCTCTTTAGAGCAGACGTTGCCTGGAATACTGGCTGTTCCCTGCTCCCAGCTCCTGGTTACCACTCACTAGGAATTTCCGCCAGCTACAGAGAACTGCTTCCCCTTAAGTCACACCCCTTCCCAAGGCGGCACATAGCTTTGACCGGCTGATGCAGAGATACAATCCAGGACACTCTCCATCTCTGGAGAATGGGCAGAGGCCTCTGTTGTGATCACACTGCTATTCCATGTCTCCCCTGCCTAGTCCTGCCTTCCTCACTTCCTTCTAGGTCTAGCTCCTCCAAGAACTCTCCAATAAATCTGCCACAGGTGATGCTCAAGAGTCTGTTTTAAGGGAACCCAATCTAAAATGAAGATTAATGGACATGAATGGGCTAATCCAAACTTGCCATGCCAAATAAACCCTGGGTTAGCAATTTTTGAAAATGAATTGCCATCAATTGGAACATGTTTTCTATGAAATGTTCCCAGCTTAAGGAAAAAATATCCTTTTCCAACTGCATTCCTATATACACTCTGTATGAGGAGAAAAGATTATTAAACTTTTGCAGTAGAGAAACATGAACATTTTCTGTACACAGCCTACCTATAAAAATCACAGAGGAGAAAGTCACATCTGGTAAGGTACTTGTGATGCACAGGAGGGACCAACTCCTCACGTGTGTATCTTACACTATTTAGGCAACAATGCATCTGCTTGTCCCTGGTGCTCTGTTTAAATGGATGGTTACCCAATGGGAGTCTCTTACCTCCAGGACCAGCCACAGCTGTCCTCCCACACAGTGATCCGCTTTGTAAAACATCCCATAAAACTTTACAACGTTGGGATGATTAGGAAGAAACTGCAAAATGTTGTATTCTGCTTCAATTTCTTCATCCATATCCTACACAAGGTAAAAAATGCATGCTGGATTAAGTCTAACATGTGAGGAAGAATACAGGTATGATATCACTTAATAAAGCATATTTATTCTGTAATTTTAATGTCATCATTACTGTATCTTGAAAATACTTAACAATGGACATTCATATCCCAACTAAAACTATTATATCAATTATTACTTTCTTCTTTAATAATACCATTATAAGTATTTATTTTTACTTTAAAATGTCTGAATTTTCAAAGCAGTTAAGGAGAAGTAGCTTGAAGGGACCCAACCCAGCTTAGCCTAGGTGTTCAGCACTCTGAAAAAAGATGCCAGACTAAGATGAATGAATACCACAAGTCTAGATCACTTTGTAACTTACAAAAACACAAGACTCTATATAAGGGAATGAAATACATTACTCTTTCCAAGAAAATAACTTTTGAAGAACCCAAAAGGTCAAAACAAAAACAACAGTAATATGGACAAGAAACAGAAATTCAAGGAATTTTTTTTTAAATTTTTTTTTTTATTTATTTATGATAGTCACACACACACACAGAGAGAGAGAGAGAGAGAGAGAGAGGCAGAGACATAGTCAGAGGGAGAAGCAGGCTCCATGCACCGGGAGCCTGACATGGGATTCGATCCCGGGTCTCCAGGATCGCGCCCTGGGCCAAAGGCAGGCGCCAAACCGCTGCGCCACCCAGGGATCCCTCAAGGAATTTTTTTAACTCCAAATGGAGTCCCTTCATTCAGATGAGCTGACAAATCATGAGTCATTTTGAGATTTCATGCCAGGTTTCATGAAAATCATCCCTAGAGGAAAGAAGTTGAAAACTCAATGTTCACAAAACATTACACTGTGGTTGCAATTTACTACAAATACTTACACTGACTGGATCCAAAATTTTTACTGCAGCCAGGCTCCCATCTTTCTTGTTAGTTACTTTATAGACCTTGCCATAGGTGCCTTTACCTATGGTCTCTATAATTTCCCAGGTATCAGTAGGATCTGGAAGTGATTCAAGTCCAAGCATTGTGTGGTTGTAATGAAACAATCCATACAGATGTTTCCTGATGGAGAGAAAAGTTCGTTATGTGCAATGTACCACAGGGTTAGGGGCAGTGGGCTTTCAAAACAAAAATATTCTTTTAAAAAAAATTCTTTTTGGGCAGCCCGGGTGGCTCAGCGGTTTAGTGCCGCCTTTGGCCCAGGGCGTGATCCTGGAGACCCAGGATCCAGTCCTGAGTCAGGCTCCCTGCAGGGAGCCTGCTTCTCTCTCTGCCTGTGTCTCTGCACCTCTCTCTCTCTCTGTCTCTCATGAATAAATAAAATTTAAAAGAAAAAATTATTTTTATTTATTTGAGAGAGCGTGCGTGTGAGTAAGCATGAGGGGCGGGGCAGGGGAGTAGGCAGAGGGAGAAGAAGAAACAGACTCCCCACTAAGCGAGAAGTCTGACCTAGGGCTGGATTCCAGGACCCTGAGATCATGACCTAAGGCGAAGTCAGCTTAACTCACTCAGCCATCCAGGCACCTCTCTGAACACGAGTATTATTTCTTAATTAGCAGCATTATGGTACTTTTCATTTTCCTCTTTTAAGTAGATTTTTTTAAAAAAGGTATTTGAAACCTTCTTAAGTAATAGGGGTAGAAGGTGGAGGAATGGGCAATATGACTCTGAAATACCTTTTAAAACATGATTCTAAAAGAGGAGATTATAGAAGTACTATAAGAAGGAGCAAAAGGGCCAAAGAGGATGTCTGGTCATGACCGGACAGTTCTCTAGGTTGCTGCTGGGGTGGGGGGGGCGGGGGAGTGTCTGAAAGTTAAAGATCTAAGATCTTCCTGCTCAGGGTCTGGTAACCACGAGCAGGCCTCCCTGATGGTCGCTGTACACCAGTCTCCAACTTCCATGTGCAAAGTGTAGGCTGCTAGGTAGGAGGAATTTGTGACTCTAACAGGCATCAAAGTATAGCACTCTTTGCTGACCAGGTCTTGGGTCCTGCAAGGATTAGCCAAGCTCAAACTCCATCCATACAGGAACAGCCTTGTGTGGAAATCATACTAAGTAGTCAACAAACTCACTTTGTTGACTGCAAACTCACTTTGCCTATTTACTAAGAACACAGCCCTGTGGAAGTTCACATACTTTAAGTATCGGTAGCAAGCTTGACAGGCAAATAAAGTCACCCAAGATTGACTCCGTGAAAAAGCCCCTTTAAGATCAGTTGCTCCTTGACGATGGGTCCCAAACCCAGTCTGCTTCTAACCACAGGGGAGAAGCCAATTAGGCTCCAACAGCAAGAGTCATGGCATCCAATCCTCACACAGTGGCTTGGTAGCCACCCAGTGTGAGCATTTCTGTCCCATCCTGGGCATTTCAATTTGCACTTGTAATCCTAATTATTTTCTATATTGCATCTTCCCAAGGTGCAGCCTTCTGACCTGGCACAAGAATTCGGTTTCTATCCCTACCCTTTGTGATGGGGGCATTTCAAAGATACTGAAAACCATTACCAAAACAAAGTAGAATCCCAATGACTGTAGGGCTGATGCTAGAAAGAACCCGTCTTTCCAGAGTTCACCTGGCAGGCTCCAAAGGAGCCTACAGTCACCTACAGTCAGCACCTCAAGAGCTGAGGAACTGACCCCAAAAGACTGGCTGGTCACATAACTCCTGCCTTTCATTTGCCGGTTTCAAGATTCAAACAAACTCCAGCCTTTCCTCCTGGCCAGTGTTTTACAAAATCAATCTTTCTCATCACAATCTTTACTATTTTTGCCATCTGTACATTACCTATGCTATTACTTATTAAAATATGCTTAAATTATTTGCTTCTTCATCTTTTACTTGCTTTTTCATATTAATAAATACCTTTTAAGGCACTTTTTCTCTACCCTAAATGGAAAACCAGTATCATTTGCCAAACATCAAAATTATCTGCAAAAAGATGATTATGCTAGAAACAATAAAGAGCTATTCAAAAGTTCAACCAGATACTGCTACAAAACAGGAAAGTGTTTTGTAGAGCACAGCCAGATAGTGTTCTCTCTTTCTAAAAAAAGGGGGGGCAGATATATCATCAAATGATAGAAGGGAATTATAGACAAACACAAAATTTTCCTTAACATTATCAGAAGACCAGAAAAAGAATGAGCAAAGAAACTTTGTCTCTGTGTTTCAGTGTTCTTTATTGTGAGATCCCCTAAACCTCTTAACACTTTTGAAGAACTGTTACAGGCCTAGCTTCTACAACAGTAAAAAGTTAGACCATCCAGGGGTACTGGTCAGGGCCAGACAGGCTTGGGGGGGGGGGGCTTGGGGGAGGATACTGAGATGTGCTTTCTGGAGAGAAGAATCGGGTCCATCAGCTAGATGGAATTACTTTATACTTGCCAGTGCAGTCCCTACACTTGCTAGTTCCCCCACTAGCAGAGATGCTCACATCTGGGTTCAGTGGTCTGACAGTAGTGCTCAAGTCAAATAGTCTGCATGATCCTGGCCCTTCCCTGACCAATGATGATATGTGAACTGGCTACTTGTCTCTCTGTACCTTGTTTTCTTTATCTGCATCATGGAACTGCTGCCACTGGTGATGCAATCCCCTTTAGAGTTGGTACTAGGATTAGGAGATGGAGACAGAATAAAGTGAGCATAATTAGAGCCCAGAAAGGGCATCTGCCATCATAAAAGCATAGTACCAAGTTCTACTTCAGAATAGGCAAAGCTTAACAGTTTCCTGTTTTGTTTTATCTCACTTTTAGCCATGAACTAAATGAGAACCAAATTAGTTTTACTCCAATCAGTTAATAGTTTCAGACAAATGGCTGGGATTTGGTGTGTGCAAATGAAATCACAGAAAGTGGCATCAGGAGAGGACCCTGGAGGCCACTGAATCAAGTGGTTTTCTAATGATTTTGAGCCACAAAACCCTTTTGTTAGATTTAATCTCACTTAGAATGCTGATGTTTAAGCTGAAAGAAGCAGTGCAGGTCTGGCTGAGGCAGGCTGGGGGACCCTTTGCCCCATGGGAGACACGCAGAGTGACTAACTATCCTGGTTCGCCTAGGACTGCCTTACTTTCAGCACTGAAAATCCTATGTCCTGGGAAACCTCTCAGAACCGAGCAACTGAGATAGTCTTTGAGTCCTTCTCAGAGTATTATTAGAAAATCACTGTTTGGGATCCCTGGGTGGCGCAGCGGTTTGGCGCCTGCCTTCGGCCCAGGGCGCGATCCTGGAGACCCAGGATCGAATCCCACATCGGGCTCCCGGTGCATGGAGCCTGCTTCTCCCTCTGCCTATGTCTCTGCCTCTCTCTCTGTGTGACTATCACAAATAAATAAAAATTAAAAAAAAAAGAAAGAAAATCACTGTTTAAGCACCCCCACCCCACCCCACCCTTACTCCCTGTTATGTACTAAATTCTATCCTCCCTCCAAATTCATATGTTGAAGTCCTAACCTCCAGTACCTACAAATATGACTACATTTGGAGACAGAGCCTTTACAGAGGTATTTAAGGAAAATGAGGTTATATGCAGGGTGCTAATTCAATGTGACTGGTATCCTTATAATGGATTAGGACAGAGACATACACAAGGGGAAGATTATGTGAAGACACAGAGGGAAGATGGTGATGCAAAAGCCAAGAAGAATCAACCTTGCAAATACTCTGATCTCAGACTTCAGCCTTCAGAACTGTGAGGAAATAGGTTTCTGTTTTTTGAGCCACTCAGTCTGGGGAACTTTGTTATGGCAGCCCTAGCAAACCAGTACATTCCAATTTTACAAATGAAGAAAATAAAACCCAGATTGGTGTCACAAGCGTTTACAGGCAATTCAGTCCTCCCTAGGCCTGATCCTGTGATATTTGTTCCACAGAATAGAATGAAGGGATTTACCTGGTTAACAATGGTACTGTCTCACCAATGCACCAAATATTTAAAAGTTCTATGATGGAAATACTCCCAATCACATGGAAGCTAAATACCCCCACTGACCTAATGGATGTCACTCTAGTCCCCGCCAGAACAAAAGCGACTCACCTAGAGGGACTCATCTACAGTTAGATGGGTGAACAGAGGGAAGATCAGATTCCCCTGCCATGCCCATCATGTCCATCTGGGGATCCAGAGATAAGGTTAAATAAAGGTGTAACACAACAGATGCACAGTAACAGGGTTGCCAGTCCTTCTCACTTTAAAATCAGTATCTGACCTTATCAACTCCCTGATGATTTTGATTAAATACTCAGACCAAATAGTAGCTGCTTATGCTACCGCTCTATAAAAGTGGTGATAATCTGCTCAAGGGAGGTAGCTGGAATAGCCCTTCTGAGAGCCAAAAAGCTGCTCCTGTTCAGAATGTTAACCTTGGGGGAAATTGCACTTCTGCAGTCCGTGCCTGGATCCAGATAGATAGAGCTTGACCTCATGGAAATAGTCAGGATTAAGCAAAGAAGAGCTAGGGGCAGTCTGAAGTAAAAGGATGAATCTGAGACCTCAGGACTCTGCAGAACCTCATATGTCTCTGTGGAGGCACCTGGGCTTCCTACAATTCCTGAAATGGGAACCCCATCCTTTATTTGGACTTGAAATGAAGGAGTAACCTCAGGAGGCTACAAAACTCAGGTTACACAGGCTACTCTCTTTGAAAGACAAACAGACTCGTATGTTGTGGCAGAGGAAAATGATACATTTTTCAGCGCAGGGTAAGCTTGAGCAGTTTACAAACCAATCAGAAGTCCTATCAGCCTGGACACGTCTATGTGTGCAGTTGCTCTAAAGTAAAGATTTGATAAACACTTTGTTTTTTGTATGTAGTAGTATGTAAATTGATACCACAAATGGATTTCTCATCAAAGTCACTACTTTTTCAGAGCAAGATTCTGCTGTCCCCTTTATTCCTACTGTACCCAAACCCTTGCTAATAGCTATTAGCAAGGCAAAGACAACATCACCTGGGAAGGATATCCCCATTGTGTGAAAAGGATTATATAACATTAAGGAATATTTTTCTATCTTTGTCACACATGATTAGCCAATTATCTAGGAAACAGCCAAACTTCTCATTATTTAAGCAGAGAGGGAGAGAGGGAGAGAGAGAGGGAGAGAGAGAGAGAGAGATTGATTTAGTAATTTAGTAAGAGATTTCAACCTTATGGTAACACAGTCCCTTGGAAGTTAAGAACAATTGTCATTTTTCTTATTTTGTTTTCTTTTGAGAAGGCAAACTCCTAGAGGGCAGAAGCCATATCTCTTTATGGTGGTTGAGAATATTCTTTCTGTTGATAAGTACTAATGGACCAAACATGATCTCTGCTTGCTGTTAACAGCAGGGGCAGGTTTCACACCACCAGAGAGCAGCTCAGTTCCAGATCCCTCTCACAAGAGAGGAGTGGCTTGCCCAGGTTACACATCACACTGCAGTGAGGAGTTGCACATATGGCTGTAAACTAATAGTACAGCTGCTGCTTTATCTTATCAGGATTGAATGTTTAGACTTCCTTATGAGTTTTGGTTTCA